GGCTAAGACCTTTTTCTATTTGTAAAAAAATCAATCTTGTTGCTTATCGATTACATCTATTGGAGTCTATGAAGATCCACTCTATATTTCACATGTCCCTTCTTGAGCTATATAAGATAATGCATATCTTGGGAAGAAGACAAATACTACCTCCTCCTATAAAAGTGGATAATAATAAAGAATTTGAGGTAGAAGAAGTCTTAGACTCAAGGCAGTCCCAAAATAGATTAAAATATCTTGTTCATTGATATAGATATGATATTAATAAACATACATAGGAGTTATCAAAGAATCTTGTAAATACATTAAAGAGAGTTGAAGCCTTTTATCAATGACATTCATCAAAATCAAGATGAAGAATAGTAAATCTTTACTATAAAAGAAATAAGATCAAAGGAAGATAACATTCTACCTTCTATCTTTCTTTATAGCTTATATATATTTTTGATGCTAAAGAGATGGAGAACCAACAACCAACACATTCAACTCAAGAGCTTTCATTTGTAAACTTATCAGATGAGACATTACGATTGTTACAACTTTTAAGACGACAAAATTGAGATGAAGATCTTCAAGAACAACATGTCCTTCTTTGAATATATACAACGTGTTTGATATCACAACCTTAGAAGAGATTCCTGATATTTGGTGATTTTATTAGAAGTAGAAATAATTCTTGATGGTATTCCAAATCTTTTATTTGAAGGAAGTTATAAAGGCTTCAACAATGATCAAATAATACGGTGGTCTTCTGGCCTTGGTATGGGACACTAATGATGGTTGAGAGGGCCTATCAACCATCTTCAAAGAGAGCAAAGATCAGAGTATGTGATAAATATAATTTGCAGTATCTTGGACTTCCTCAATATATGAAGTCCGCTCCTCATGGATCTCATTCCTAGAAGGAAGGATAATATCACTGACATATATATTTACTCTAAATAGTTACTTATATTATTAGGTAGAAGTAAATAAATATAGATTAGTTTTATAAAGTCTTTTAGAAAAGTTTTTTAAAAGCTTCATAGATGTAGTTTTGACTTTAGATGTATTTGTAGGATAGAAACTTGGCCAACAAGTTAACCAAATATTAGTAGCTTGTAGAATAAGTTAACTCTATGTAGTAGCTTATGGAACAAGCTAACTATGTGGCACATACATATATAACTTGCCTTACAAGTTAAGACATGTGGCTAGCAAAGTCAATACATGTTGAAAGTCCTATAGAATATCACCACATAGCTCTTAGTTAGAAAGTATATGTGGAGGCAAGATTGAAGCCTTCTTCACTCTTATCAATGCCTTTTTAGTCCTTAGTCTTCTTTCAAGACTTTCTTATCTTTTTGTTTTTAGCAATATCTATTCTAGTTTAATATTACATCATCTTTTGAGTGACTTTCTAGTTCTCTTCAGTAACATAAGATTATATTAAAGATTTTCTTTCTTCGAGATTCATGTCCTTGATACTTAATTCCTTGCAATGCCTTTTTTCTAACTTTTTATACTTTTTCTATATCCTACTAATAAAATAGTCCTATCATGACACAAACTCCTATTCTTCTCTAAGTAATTCGTCTTAAATTCTTACTACCTCTTTTTTGTTAATCCATAACTTCCATTTTGGTTCCAACCTCTATTTAGACAAGATTCATATCTATATTAGATCTTCATCTATCTTTACTTTTATTTGTATTGATTTTTATCTAAACTATCAAATATATTTATTATAAATAATATAATAAATGTCTAAGTTCTATCCTCATTGTTCTAAGGGTTTATTGGCCTAGCTTACTAGTTTGATAAATATCTAATTAACAAGGATTAAGAAAGGTGGTAGGCTTTTTTATAATGATCTTGTTGATTGATGAACTAGCAAGGTCAAAGAATAATGCTTCTTATAAGGATTTCCAAAGGTAGAGCCTTCAAAAGAAATTTTGATTTCAATCTTTTTTAAGTGGATTAGGTTTAGTTCTTAGATAATGGCAAAGTTTCATATAGAATCCTATTCTTGTAGATTCAAGTGTCTCATTTATAATTAAATTTTTTCAACTTTTTTTTTTGATTTTTGATTTTATTTTATTATTTAAGTGAATTCTTAATACCATATACATTACTTGTAAGCCTTGATTAAGTTCAAATCATTGAACTTTTAAACACATTATTCTTGAAGTAAGATAAATTTACTTAGTTTTTATTTCTTTAATTTTTTATCTTCAAATATCATAAAAATTCATATTAATTTAGATTTATATTTTTTTAAATAATTAAAATATAAAATAATTACTTACTCAAATATTTTATTTTTAATATATAATTTTATTTTTTAAAAGAAAAAAAATTAATAAATAAATTATTAGTAGTTTTTAGAATGTGTAAGTATTTGATTGCATATCTTCTACTTGTATTGTTTTTTTTTATTATTATTATTTCTTGTTTATTATATTTTTTACTTTATACCATCAATTTGAAGAAATTCTTCATTGAAGCCATCTTGCCATTTGAGTTAAAGAATGAATTTACCTTCACAACATCCACCAAGTTTAGGGTTTAGGATTTTTGGTTATTAAATCTAGAGTAGCTATACCATTGATACAACCAAAGGACTTCACCTTGGTCAAAAAATATTTATATATCATTGTAGACATAACTCATATCTAAAATTCTTTATATATTATTGTATTGTAACATAGCTATTAAATTAAAGAAATATATAAATACTAATAAATTTTTAAAAAATTATTAAAAATATAATATAAAATTAATTTTTAAATCATAGATAAAAGATATGAAATAATACAAAATTTAGCATTAATCTTTTGTTTTTATCAATTGGACTTCTATTTATTTCTCAAAATTATAAATAAGATAAGATAAGATAGATTAGATAAAAAAAAAAAAAAAAAACTATTATATAAATCTTTGGATAAAAAAAGAAGATACTATCTAACAAAAACTTTCAAAAAAGCTTAAGTTCATATAAAAGGATGATTATTTTTGAAGTAAGATTGAAACCAAAATCCAAGACATAAAACTACACATACACATCAAATATAGGCTTTATTAATCAATTAAACAATGAAGTTAAAGAGAAAACTTCAAGAAAGTTCTAGAAGTGTTGATTTTGATTTTTTTAAGTTTTTGATGACTTTGTGAGAGATATACAAAGTTAGAGTTAAATTAATCTAGTTGAATTGAGGATCATAAAAGAATGAAGATTTCTAAATTCAAACTCTAAATACTAAACCATAAATCCTAATACCTTATGTATTTTTTTGAATAGTATGAATTGACCTAAGTTAATAAAAATCAATTTAAAATTTACATAGGCAACTTCAAAAATATATTTTGGACTTTCTATCACCATAATAGAAAATAAAAATTTGATTTCTTATTTTTTTGAAAGACTTATTGTAATTTAAATTTAGATGCCAATAAAATTTTGGCAATTTCTAAGCATCAATTCTTAGAAAAAGTGCATATTAATATCTAAAAATAATTTTTAATTTAAATTCTAATTACAATACAAAAAATTTGGAAGAATTATTATTTAGATATTACTATAATTAAGAATAATATTACAAACTTTCAGGTCTCAATTCTTTCATATAAGTTAGTCTAGCTATTGTACAAGGTGGCAAATGACCAATACAAATTAAAAAGTTATCTATACCTTTAATTGGACATTGATATCTTTTCTGGACAAAGTCTAATCTATGCCAAACTATCAACTTCTTATATACCAATCTTTAGCATCAAAGAACCTATTGTTAATGATTTTACATATAAAAATATTAAATATTATAAAAATTAGAATGAAAAAGTGACAATATCTTTTAGAAATTGTTTTTTGATAAATACATATCTAGAATAGGATTAGAAAAACTCTAAAATATATTCATCCATAAGGCATTAAAATCAAACTTTGGTCCTTCAAATTAGCATTATAAAAGTCTCTAATAATATAATTTAAAAAAAAATAGAAACATTAGTAAGTGGCTCAATCAACCAAAGATAGTTTAGAAGAAACAATCCAATAAGGAGATCCATACTATTAGGATTTGAATAATAGATGGTATATTAGATATATCCAACTTACATAAGAATTGAACAAAAAAAAATATAGTGAGTAGAAGGAAAGTTAAAGATACTTACCCAAAATAAATATTGAATGTCTTGAAGTTGAAAATAAAACAAAAAAAATCAAAAAAATATGTAGCAGCTATTATATAGATGGTTAGTTGTTAACAATAAATTGAAGTAGTATAAATAACTGCAAGGTTTAGTGGTTACAAAAGAAAAAAAGGCATGAAAAAATATGATATTTAACAGAAAGAATAAGGCTAAAATGATATTATTTTTATTTTTGATATATAATAAAAATAATTACAGATATATACTACTTCCTAATTTATTACTATGTCTTTCTTTTATGTCTTTTATTTAATTTACCTTCTAGAACTTTCTATTAAAGTTGAGTTATATGTGATCCAACTTGAATTCTCCTTAACTTAAATATTTGCTACAATATGTGAAGTTTGATATAAAAAAAATTATTTTAAGATAAGTGCTTGGAAATTGATATCCAAGAAGACAAGCCACTTTTCAATGCTAATTTAAAATGATCAACAAGTCATGTCTAACTTTAAGCTAAGTCTACAGAAATTTTTTCAATCTACCAAATTTTATACATGTTTAATTTGTAATATTAGAATTTAGATTTGAAATCCGTTACAGACTACATATATAGATGTAGCTATCTTTATATATATATATATATATATATTCTCTTTTTGAAGGATTGTGAAGCCCAAATGTCCATTAGGAAGGGCTCTGAGTACTGCAACTCAATGACTTGCCCATGCAACAGAGCAAGCTCCACTTTAGTCACAGAAGCCCTTGCTGAACACCAAACACTCAAACCTTCAAACTCTAGAAGATGGGCTTCTTGAATGTGAGGAAAAGAATTGGGAGCGTGGTTTAGGAGGTTGGATGCATGCAATATGGTCCCCTATAACCAGAAACCTCATGGTGGAGGGAAAATGGGTGGTGTGGTGTTAGGGCCTGGGCCATAAGTGCAGGCAGGAAAAGAGATAGAAAGGAAGGCAAGGGCAAGGAAAGGAAAGAAAAGAAAGGACGAGGTGTAAACTCCCTCCCTGGCTACTCATGAGAAAGTGTAGGGTGGAGGGAAGCCCAGAATTTCTCACCTCACTTGTTGAATTCCTCCTCGTTTTCTCCATCCGGGGCCTCGACCACATCAACCGCACGCTTTATGTGCTTTAAGCGCTTCGGCATTGCGCAGTGCTTATTTCCACATTTCTGCTCTTCACCTTTCCTTACGCCTCCGCTCGCTGCCTCGCTCCATCCGCTGCCTGCCATGGCCTCCCTCACCGTCGTCGCTGCTGCTGCTATCACGGCTGCCCTGGCCTCGCCCCGAAGCGTGCCCTTCTCGGGCCTGCGCTCCCTCCGCACGCTGTCCTCTGTCGTCGCTTGCCCTCGCCTGGTGCTCGTCTCTCGCCACGCTCGCGTCCTGCCCTGCATTCGAGCCTCTGCAGTACGTCATGCGCCCCCTTGTACCTTCTTCCTTCCCTTTCCTTTGCTCTGTTGCGCCGTGTCCGCTTTATCGTTTTGGTCTTCGATCCTTGCATATCGTCTCGTATCGCGTTCGTCCCTGTGCTCTTCTCATTGTCCCACCCGCTTCCCTCATCGCGCAGTCCGAGGAGGACGCATTCTCGATCATCCAGGACATCATCGCGGAGCAGCTGGCCTGTGATAAGAACTCCATCACGCCCGATTCCAAGTTCACTGACCTCGGCGCCGACTCCCTGGACACTGTGGAAATCATGATGGCTCTGGAGGAGAGGTTTGACATCCAAGTGGAGCAGGACAACGCCGACAAGATTGTGACCGTGGGGAATGCAGCCGACCTGATCAAGGAGGTCATCGCGTCCAAGTAGGGCACAAGTCTTGATAGTTCTACGTTACTTATATTTCCGGCCGACCACCACAACGCCTCCCCCCACTCACACACATACACACTTGTGGCGTGTCCGACGGCAGTTTCTTTCTTTCTTTCTTTCGGTGGTAAAGCATTTAGGATCAGGAGTGGATTCGAGACACTCGGGTAATATTTCATGCATAGAGCTGGTTCTCTGCAACGTAGCCTTTGTCATGTACCGGTAACGTTTTTGTGGAAGTAGTTTTAAGTAAAGGGCCAGTTGATATACTCGGCCCATGAACCATAGCTGGTGGATTGTGGCGAGTGTGTGTTCATCATCTGACATGGAAGGGTTTTGGGTCTTGCGTTGGTGAAGTTTCTGTGTCGATGGGGTTGAAGTGGTGCGAGAACGCTTCTTGTAGACTGTTCTATTGGGGTGTGTCCCTGTTGGTTGACGCTACCTGCGATTTTGAGTTGGTCTCGGGTGTCGGGCAGTGTTCTCATGTGTCGAAATTGGAGCTTGTGTGCTGTTGTTGGCAACGACGAGATATCTAGCACGATAAAACGAAACCTTGTCGCTGGGTTTCACCTGATATTGTTGTGTGTGGAGCAGTTGTCCTTCCCATGCGCTGATCAATTTGAGCAGGTGGAGTTCATTGACATGAATTGCGGATAATAGGGGTCGCTATGTTCGTCGGAACTGCAAGACATCTTCGACTGGACAGATTCGAGAAAGACTTTTCGACCAATTATACCTTGGCAGTGCATCTTTTAGGTCATTATGGCCTAAAGGTTAGGGCTTTTTGTATGTCATGATGCTCTAGAGATGATCTGTCACAGGGATGTTGGCTGGTTGCCGACACCATGTGCCAGCTCAGTTATGGCACGTGTTGACTATTGACATCGAGCAGGCTGATGGTCATGCGGATCCAGAAGCAGCATAAATCAGGCATTCTGGAAAGCTACAATCCATAACTGCGATGCTGGTCACAGTGCAGTGCCTCCAATTAGTTATTGCAATGAGGAAAAGTCCTCTGTAACCCTGATGGGGCAGGACAAAAATGCCGAAAGAACTGTTTTGCCAAGCGCCGCTGAACTTCGGAAGTGCCACAAGTATCGATGCAGTACTCAAGGCTTATCCTCTGCCATGCGTGTCACAAAACAGTTACCCTTGGACTAGGGAAAGTCGCTTTCAATGAGGTGTTTAGAGCCAGACAATCACAGTGGGACAATAAAATAAACTCCATCTGCAGTCCAAAGCACAATGGTTTTCACCACCCTTGTCAACGACTCTTGAGAACAGTTCGGATTTTAACATAGTTTCTGGACAAGTCACTGTCGGTCACTCACATCGGTCGCGGCACATACGCGTCACAATTCCTACGAGTCCTTGCTGCAACTTCGATTCAACACCAAGTCGCGGAATAATCCTTGTCAAACTGGGTACTGCTCCGTTTTTCAGCCAGGAGTTGCACTGCAGCGCCCGATCTGTAAGTATTTCTACCCGATGATGTGACCACGTTTCCCATCATTACGCAAGCATACATCTCGTGATCCGATGAGAACCGTCGAGAGCAAGAAAGATTCACTAGGGTTCTTCGTGATGGCCACCCAAACGCACTGGTACTGCTGAAGCCATTGCCTTTAAACCACAGACAAGGTGTCTTGGCCCTAATGCGTGCAGAATGAGAATCAAATCTACTAAGCCCATTCGAGAACTTGAAGCTCATTATCCTGGACATGTAAACATCGTCCAGTGATGGGCTACATGGGTGTCGAGTTCACTTATACAACTGTTCCTGCATCGAGCCTACTGCAAAGAGTGAGTGGGAACCTCAACATCGAGATAAGGATAGCAGTGGAATTTTTGAAGATCCTGCTGTGGCTCCGGACAACTGTGACATTTGCCACCCATAACTGGTCCGTCGTGAGGAGAGGGTTCGTCACGCAAAAGAAGCTCTGCGTCATCGTGCAAGTCTAGAGCCCGAAGCCTTCCAGTCAACACTCGACGAGTGACTTTTGACTAAACGATTCCATCCGACCTCATCGCTTCATGTAATGCCAAGGCCCTTCCGGCAGCCTTCGCTCTCAGAAAGGCCTGAATCATTATTGTGTATGTGACTGCACTGGGATTAATCCCAAGAGAAGGCAGTCCCATGAACATAGTATTTGCGGCATTTACTTTCCCTGTTCTTGCCAAGCTGTGAATTAGTGTGGTGTATGTATTCACATTAGGTTTGGAATTGGCTTTGAACATCTCCTTGTACATCTTTAAAGCGTGAGCGTGATTACGAGTTCTTGACAACAAGTCAATGAGCATGGAGTAAGTATAGACATTTGGACGATGTCCACGTTCTTTCATGTTGTCGAGTACCTGCGCATCCCAGGGTATCATCATCAGACACCGAATTCACATATATGGGTTGAACTTTGTCAGATCACTGGCAAGATGAGAAAACGATAAGTTGGAAATTCACCTTAAGAGCTGGCATCGGTCTGTTTAGCCGTACAATAACTATGGATCAAAGTGTTGTACATAACTCCGTTGGCTACTTTTGCAGCCTCTGCATCTGCAAATGCCTCCAGCTGCATCTCCACGTAACCAGCCTTTCCGAGAATGTCCAGCACTTCAGCAAAAACGTATTTAGAGGATACATGCGCATCCTGGCTCCTCAGCCACTTATAAAATCGCCACACCGCTTCGGGATGGCCACTCATACGCGTGAAGATGTTCAAGAGGAATTGACTCGGTAACCTTGATTTCAGATTGTACAATGCGCTGACTGTTTCGGGTCCCAAACTTATCAATAATCCTGCGATCCTCGCTGAGCCCGGTGGTCTCCCATAGATGCCGTCAGTTTCTGACTTTTGATGATGGATTTTCAGTCCCATGGCCGTGCACATAAGTGTAAGCTCTGCCACTTCATCCGCTCGACCTTTAGCCATCAATGCTGTAAACAGAATCGATCGCAATCCGTGGGAAGGCATGAACCCAGCCTCCATCATAGTTTTGAGGAAATGTACAGCTTTCTCAAGTTCTCCTGCTTTCACATGAGCAGTTACCAAAATCGTGTAAGTGACAAAATTTGGCCGATGATGAGGCTCAGGTAACCTGCCGAACATCTCACGGGCACCATCCAGCTTGCCAGCTGTCGCAAGAGAATGTATGAGAACGTTGTAAGTAAATATGTTTGGCTCCCAGTTAGAATCTCGCATCTCCTTGAACACAGCCAAAGCTTCCTCGTGACAGGTATCCTTATCAAGTGCATCGATGAAGGTCGTGTATATGTACTCATTGGGTAGACAACCCTCTCGCTGCATGTGCTCCAGAACTCGACGAATACCTGCCAAATTCTTTGCTTCTCGGTACCAGCGCATGACCAACGAGAAAGTCACAATACTCACATCACAACCAACTTCGCACATCTCAGCCAGAACTTCCTCAACGGCTTCATAATTCTTCGCCCTGCCATAGAGGTCAATGAGCGCTGTGTAGGTGTACATGTTGTGCTGGTAACCTATCTTGGATGTTGCCCAGTTAAAAAAAAATTCCTCCCAGCTTTAAGATTCGACAATTTCTTCAGTACCCGACAGACAATAATTGGGTGTAACTGGGCCTAAAGATAACCACGAGTACCACTTAGATAACCGAATTACAAACCAAAGAACACTCTACATTCTCTACACCGAGTACTTCAACACGAAAGTGAAGTGACCTAGTCCTCGATTTCAACAAGCGTAGTCGACTTTGATGGCTTCCAAGGTACAATTACAACAAACAAATTTGACAAGGTTAAAACTGACCATGAGCAATAGACAAATACATTAAAACAGAAGCTGTCCAGTCGGTTGCACTAACCTGCACAGCATCGAGAAGCTGAGGCGTTTCCGGGCCCCATTTCCGAATCAGCTCCTCAAACTGTCCGGCGATGACAGCGTGGCTTGCGATACTTTTGGATTTATTTTCACTACCCCCGCCATCAACACCGTAGCCACTCTCGATAAAATCGTTGCGAGAGCTTCCAATCCTCCATGTTGACATCGAACTCTTCACTCGAAACTCATATTGACCACCTTTCAAACCACCTCCCCCGACCCCGATGCCTTCTACTAAGAGCTGAGTAAGCCATGAATGGGTTTGTCTGATGTAAACCTGTACTCCTGCCCACCGCATGATTGCCAATCTTCTCCTGCTCTTCTCACGTCATCAAGCAGACGAGATGGGAGTGAACACAAAATTTTAAAAGAAAGCAACTATAAACCTCATCAAAAGCCATCTACAGTGTCTGCCCCCAACCGTGGGCCCCGCGATCGTTAGCAAGAAATACCTGCGCAGAATTTTAGACCACCTGCAATCGCAAAATAAAGCAGTAACCTCAATCTACATTTGAAATGATACACGTACAAAAGTGAACACTAGAGTAACCATGAGGTAGGGCTATTGTTGATTACCCTCCACGCAGTATATAATCAACTGTAGTTTTAAAATGCTGAGGACAAAGAGGTTGGTAAAATTTGTACACTTCCACGACGAAGGGTACGAAATTAAAGGATACCAACACAAGAATGAGAGAGAGACGCGACGACACTCGCAAGACACAGTCCACGAAGCGACTTCAATCCAATACAGATGCAAATCTAAGGGGCAGAAACTTTATAGCTCACACTCGTTGCTACAAGCATCGAAGTTGGGGGAGACAGGACTACAAGCGTAGACGTTGCGAGAGGCACCAAGCAAATCTGCGACAACTTCTCAATCTATGATGAGAGGTGCAACATTACAGTAAATGGATGGGTGCGAGAAAACGCACAGTTCGGGTTGAGACAGAAGTGTTACGCAGTTTTCTTCTTACAATGCGTCGGTTCCAGAAAAGTCTACGACAAACTTAAGGCCCTACCATTCTTGAGTAGTGCATTGTTTGGATCTTCGAATTAGCCTGGATTGCTAAGAAGCTCCTCAGCAAGCTTCACAGCACACTCTCCTAAACCCTAACCCCACGAATAATTGTCCGTCGCCTAGGTTTGCGCGTTAACAGTAGATTTTATGTGAGCGACGGGGATGTAAGTTAATGATACATTGAGATGTGGGACTCACCCACCGCCACAATCATCGACTACTTTCCTTATTTCAGTGGCTGCGGTCCAGTGATAAACCCAGAATTCCACTGAAGCAAGTACCCGCTGTCCTAAATCGTGATTTCGTGTCCAAATTTTCTCAATGGGATGGATAGGAATGGCGATGAATGCACATTCAGGAGGGGTATTCGTGACACATGCGCCATGCGATGTGCAAGTGACCGTAATAGTAGGCAAGCTGCTCGGTGTTCCGACGGGGTAGAAAATCTCCCGCTTCTGCATTTGTTTGCAAAATATTGAATTGACCAAGTCTGCGGAATTCATGACTTTGCAAAGTGCAGAAGTATTGAAATGTTGTGTGTTGTGTGTTGTGTGTGAATAGTTGCTCGTGACAGAATAGAAAACCAACGGAAAACAACTAGATGAAGCTGAAAACGTTCTAAAAAAGTGAAACGAATCATATCTGGCCAAAGGATTGATTGGGGTTGGAATTGATATACACATTACATGAAAACCTACAACTTTTCATGTGGCCTAATCATTCATGACATACCAACTCTATAATTTAGGTTAACAATAGTAGGTGTTAGTGTATTGCTCTTAATTTCATATCTTATCAATATGGACTAAGTTGAAAAGTATTTACTAATCATTATTAATCTAAAGCATTATGTATACTTGTCAAGGACAAGAACTTGATAAAAACAAATAAACAAGTGAAACTTTTCTCAAAGAATGATGACAAAATAGAAATAACTAAATATGTATATTAAGAAAGAAATTGGAATGGCTATTGCCAAAAGACAAGATGTCATGGACATAATCATGTAAGCTAATAATTACATATACAAATATGTAGAAGTAAGTAAAAGTAAGTTAATTCTATAGTATTTAATAAAGAAGCTTCTTAGAAGCTTCATAGATGCTGCTTTGACTTCATAGGTGTCTTTAATTGACTTTTTGGATTAGAAACATGGTCAACAAGTTGGCCATGTACCACACATATTGTTAGCTTGAAGATCAAGCTAACTATGTGGTCCACACGTAGAAAAACTTACCTTGTAAGTCAAGGCATGTGTCCTACAAAGTCAACACATATTGCAGGTCCTATAGAACGTCGCCACATAGCCCCTAATTAGATAGTATATATAGAGACAAGAGTGAAGGCTTCTTCACTCTTGTCAACTCCTTTCTTGCTTCTAGTCTAGTTTCAAAGGTCTCTAGTTTTCTTGTCTTTTGGCAATGGCCATTCCAGTTTCTATTTCAATATATATACTTGTTTATATATATTTTGTTACCTCTCTTTGAGTGAAGGCTCACTTGTCTGAATTATTTTTTCATCGAGTTCTTGTCCTTGACACAACAAAACTAGAGACCCTTGAAACTAGACTAGAAGCAAGAAAGGAGTTGACAAGAGTGAAGAAGGCTTTACTCTTGCCTCTATATATACTATCTACCTAGGAGCTACGTGGGGACGTTCTATAGGACCTCCAAAAATTGTGTTGACTTTGCACAAGACATATCTTAACTTGCAAGGCAAGTTTTCTATGTAGGTGCGACATAGTTAGCTTGTTTCGCAACCTACTTACATGTGTGGTACGTGGTTAACTTGTTGACCAAGTTTTTAACCTACCAATCAAGTATAAATACATGTAAAGTCAAAACAACATCTATAAAGCTTCTAGGAAGCTTCTCTAAATGATATTATGAAATTAATTTACTTTTATCTACTTCTATCTATTCATATCACCTTAATAATAATTACAATAAATATATGTCTATGACATTATGCCCCCCTTCTAAGAACGAGTTCCACGAGGAGCGAAGATCACATGTCGAAGAAGTCTAAGATGCAACGAATTATATTTGCCACATACTCTAATCTTTGTTCTCTTCGAAGATGATTGATAGGGCCTCTCAACCATCGATAGTCTCTCATACCAAGGCGAGAAGACTACCCAATCATTTGATCATTATTGAGGCTTTCAAAACTTCATTCAAATAAAATATTTGGAACACCATCAAGAGTTGTTCTTACTTCTAGTAAAATCACCAAACATCGGGAGTTCCTTCCAAGGTCATGATACCAAACACATTATATCTCGCCACCTATTCGAAAAAGAATATGACTTTCTTGAGGATCTTCATCTTGATTGCATCGTCTTGAAGATTGTAACAATCATAATATCTCATCTAACAAGTTAGCTAACAAAGGCTCTTGAGTCGAATTTGCTAGTTGTTGGTTCTCCATCTCCTGAACGTCACAACTACAAAGAAGCTACAAAAAAGGATTGAAAGTAGAATGTTATCTTGTTTAGATCTTGTTTCTTTTATAAGGAAGGTTTTCATCTTGATTTTGATAGATGTCGTCAATGAAAAGCCTCCACCACCTTTGTTGCATTTGTAAGATACTTTACTGGCTCCCATGTGCATTCACTAATATTATATCTGTGTCAATCAAAAGGATATTCTAATTTATTTTGGCGCCGCTTTGAATCTAGGACTTCTTCCACTTCGAACTCTTCATTATTTTCCACTTCTATAGGAGGAGGTGGAGCTTGTGTCAAGGACATGAACTCGATGAAAAACAATTCAGACAAGTGAGCCTTCACTCAAAGAGAGGTAAATAAACAAATATATATATTGAAAGAGAAACTAGAATGGCTATTGCCAAAAGACAAGAAAACTAGAGACCCTTGAAACTAGACTAGAAGCAAGAAAGGAGTTGACAAGAGTGAAGAGAGCTTCACTCTTGCCTCTATATATACTATCTAACTAGAAGCCACGTGGCGATATTCTATAAGACCTCTAATATGTGTTGACTTTCTAGGCCACATGTCTTTGCTTGCAAGGCAAGTTTTCTATGAGTGGACTACGTAATTAGCTTGTCCTTCAAGCTACCAACATGTGTGGCACATGGCTAACTTGTTGACCAAGTTTCTAACCTAAAAGTCAACTATGGACTCCTATAAGGTCAAAGCAGCATCTATGAAGCTTCTAAGAAGCTTTTAAGAAGCTTCTCTAGAAGATATTGCACAATTAACCTACTTTTATCTACTTTTATATACTTTTATCGACTCTTGTAGGTAATTATATGTATATCCGTGACAGCTTGTCTTCTTCTTCGTATTTTCACTATCTTGTATGATTCAAGAAGAGACACATAGAATATTGGATGGATTTTCATTGACTTTGATAGGTGTAAATGACATACAACTAGATTAATTTGTGCAGTAATAGAAAATTGTCCAAGCCTTCGATAGTCCAACTTCTCACAAAGACGAGTGGTCTTGATATTGCAACGAAGTAACCATACCTTATCACCTATGTGGAATGGTAGTTGTTCCTTTCGATAGACATCCCCATTGACCTTTTGTTGTTCTTGAGCTTCTTATAAGTGCGCCTTCATTGTTGCATATAGCTCTAAGAAATGATTTACTAAATCTATTGCCATAGGATTATCAGCTTTTGAAAAGTCAAAAGTATCAAGTCGTGGATGATAACCAAAATTGGCAAACAAAGATGTTTGTCTTGAAAAAGAATATATTGTATTATTATAAGAAAACTCTATCAATGGCAAAAAAGTTGTCCAATCATCTTCTTGATAATTGATGGTATATCTTAAATAATACTCCAAAACTTAATTAATATGCTTTATTTATCCATTAGTTTGAGGATGGAATGTCAAAGATAGTTTTATATCTACTTTTAAAATCTTGAAAAGAGTTTGCCAAAATCTCTATAAAAACTGAGTTCTCCTATTTGATATAATATCCTTAGGTAATCCATGATAGCGATAGATATTGTCAAGAAAGAGCTTAGCTGTTTCTTCACATGTGATAGATTTTGTATATGGTACAAAATGTGTCATCTTGGTAAAACAATCTACTATCACAAATACAGAGTCATAAGAACCTGAGATTAGA